GCCATTTAAGTCTTCAAAATGTGGCATCCCTGGAGGCCTAGATGCCTTTGGCACCAGTCATATTAAAATGCCTTTACAATCTACATTATGATTGACATATGAAAGCTGAGTTGAGTGCACTGAGTTGTAATCAGCTAGTTCACTGCACACATAGATGTGGTCCTCGACCAATGCCAATCCAGGAAGAGTTTCGAATCAACTTGTGCAGAGATAAATACAGAACTTGAGACGTTGTCCCCACAACTAAGCATATAATCATTTTTCTAGTTATTCCTTCTTATTTTAATTTCAAAACTATTGGTTCACAACACAATTGGAAATACATTAACCCAAAATATATCAGATATCTTTTAATTTCCATAGTTCAAAACTTTTTTAATACACTGGAGTTTTTTTTTTTTTTTTTAATTGAGAAGCTCTGGTCTGGTTGAAATAATATATTTAGAAAAAATTCTAGGTTGAGATAACAGAGAAAAGAGTAAACTTGAAGATGAAGCAGTAGGAAGGAGTCTAAAAACTGCAGACCAAAAAAAAAAATGAGATTGAAATAGCTAGCACATACCGTCATATCTATAATACAGTAAATTGGGCTTAAACTTTCTGACTTGGAGATAGTTTTTAAATTTTTTTTTTGGAAATGTTATTTATTTTATTTTTAATTTATGAGTGCATTTAAATCACAGAGCATAATGGTTTTCATTGAGGCATATTTGTACATGCATATCACATACTTTGCCCATATCCACTCCCACCACCCCCCAACCTTCCCTTACCCCCACTCCATTCCCCACTTGAAGATAATTCATTGGCAAGTATAGCTTCTCCTCTTTTTTAATCTTCCAACCCTTTACCCCGCCCTCTCTCTCTCTGCCCCTCTGTGATGGATGTGTTGCACTGCCCAGGTCCCCATTTAGGAATAAGGGTTATCTTCCCAGCTGCTGGGAATGCTGCCAAAAGATGGTCCTCGGCGTTCTGCCATCTTTGAGGATTGCCTTGGCTAACAATCACCTCACACAAGGCCATGCTTCCTTCCAGGGACAAGTTGCAGCTGATAACTAACCAACAAGAGGATTAGGTATCTATGAGGGCTGGTCTCCTTGATCTAACTTGGGGTATCTGGGAAGAGACCTCCCAGTTCCAGAGCTCCTTTCAGGGTTTCCTGAGGCTCCAGTTGGAATTGTGTCACAGCTGAGCTTCTCCCTCTGCCCAGTCCTGCTTCCCACTCCTCCTTCCCAGTTGTGGACCTCAAGAATGCTTCCTAATGAATGTTTGCACATTAACGTCTCAGAATCTGGCTCTCAAGCAGCCCAACCTGGAACATCACACCCCCAGTCTTCCTATCACAGTTCCTCCCTGCCTGCCTCTCCTTCCTTCGTGTTCTCCCTTCTCCTRTTCCTTCTTCCCACTTACTCCTTCCTTCCTTCCTTTCTGTTCTCTCTCTTAGACTATGTCGTTTCTCACCTCGGCTTCTTTCTCAGCTTCTACATAAGAATCTTCTCTTCTCACTTTTCCTACCAGTTTCCTCTGCTTATGCAGCACATGGCCACCATGGCTGCTCCAAAATGGTGTCTTCAGCTCCTCAGTCACCATCATGGTAGCATATGCTCTTGGCACCCCACCCAGATGCCCTTTTCTGGGCTGGGTACTCATCCTGCAGCTATCATGGGTATTGGTCAATGACAGCTCATGTGCACCCTTCTCTGGAAGATTGTCTCCCCTGGAGCTGCCTGGGAGGTTATGCCCTGCACTCTTTGGCCAGGGATGGTCCAATGGGGGGTACACCAGGCCATCCTCCATTCTTAATGTGGGACACACTCTGTGGTCCAATTCATGCTCATGTCTCCTTAGGATCAGTCTCAGACCAGCCTTTTCCTGACTGTTCAGCATCTTCCCCTGCCCCATTCAGTTCTCACTCCCTTATGGCTCTATCCTGAGAGTGATCCCTCAACGAACCCCTCTGCTTTTAGGGAGGCTGATTTAAGATCAACACCTTTCAAATTTTGGTACCTGGCTAATTGACCCAGCCTCTACTGGAGAGAGAACTAGTGGGGTTCAGGTTAATGCAGCCCAGCTTCTTGACTGAATATCTGGACTAGGAGTTCACTCCAGCTCCAGTCATCTGCAGCTGGAGTGGGGAATGGAGTTATAAGATAGGGTGGATGGAGGAAAGGGAGAGGGGGTAACTCCTAGAAAAGGGTGGCCGATTCGTATGAAAGCTGACCTATCACGTGCCATCCTCTTCAGTCTGCCTTAGCTTTATTTTCTCTGTTTGTCTCCTCACTTTTCCTCTCTCTACTTGTCTATAGTGCCATGTTGGGGTTGGAGAATGATTTTTCAAAAGGTAGCACTGTGTGATGGAGCGAGAACTGGGCTGAGAATCGGGCTGAGAATCAGAAGGCCTAAATGATAGGCCTAACTCCACCAGCAGCTCTGGGCCTCAGGATTTCGGTAAATTAGAGTCAGTTTACTGAATTCAATGTTAATGCTTCTCTGAAAACTTAACAGGGTAGAATATACATTTTAATCTCTGAATCCCTAAACTCAGCACAATGCTGGTACAAGGTAAGAACACTGATATATTGATAAGGAGTTACCCTTTAAAATGAAATGAATTACATTAAAACATAAGGTATAGTGTGACCCAGAAGTGCAATATTCTAGATGTGGAGACAATTAGCAGTAACCATCACTTGATGAGTACTCACATGTACCAGTTCTCTGGTAAACATTTCATGTGCTTTTTTACTGCTCTTGTGTAACAAATCACCACAAAACTTAGCCATTTAAAGCAACCATTTTATTATGCTCATAGAGTCTATGGCCAGGAATTTGGACAGGGTACCATGGAGATGGCTAGTCTCTGCTCCATAATGTTTGTGGCCTCAGTTGGGAACATCTAAGTAGGATCTTGATGTTGGGGGTAGGGGATGCTGGAATCAGGAGGTATCCACTCTCAGGACTGGTGGTCCATGATGTCTGTTGGCCGAGACATCAGCTGGGACAATAGACCAAAGCACCAACATGTGATTTCTCCATGGGGCTTGGGCTTCCACAAAGAATGGTGGCCCCAGGCGAGTAGGACTTCTTACATAGCTGCTCAGGGCTCCATAAGCAAGTGTCCCGATTTACCAGGCAGACGATTTCATTGTTTTATGACCTACTCTCAAAATTCAAACTGCATCATTTCCAGCACATTGTACAGATTGGAGGCAAACCTCAAACCCATCCAGATTGAGAACAGGTGAATTAGGCCCCACCTCGAAAGATCCTCACAGAGCTTGGGTGAGAGACATATTTGAAAATACAATCTACTGCACATATACTTGCTCATTTAACCTCTCCCTTGTCCTCAGAAATAGGTATTATTGTCCCTCCTTCAAAATAAAGAAACAGGCTCAGATGGGTTAAGTAGCTTGTTGGTGGACAAAACCAGAACATGGCACAGCTGGATTTAAACCCACTCTTTACAAATCAAGGGTTCCTCCATGGAACAGAATGAATTAAGACATTCCAAGGTCAGTTCTCCCTATGTGTAGGATCAGGAATGGATAAGTATTCCCCTCTATAACTCTGATATCAGAACTCATGTCCAGTCTATATGGATGAAGGAATCTGGTCTTGAGTGTACCTTTCCAGGGTGTTGCTTCCAGAGGCTGTGTAATTATTTTGTTGACCCTCAATGCCTCAGCCTGCAAGATACGTGCAAAGCAGAGGAGATGTTCCCTGCCAGCTCCTACCTGGTAATATGACTAAAGAGTCTGAGGAGCAGAAGCAGATTCTAATGCCCTCTATAAAGACAGCATGCACACAACCAGTTTGTGCCAGGAGTATCTTCTCTGCCATGTCCACCCCTCATCATTTTTTTTTTTTTGTACTAGGGTGCTTTATCATTGAGCTACGTGCCCGGCACTCCCCTCCTTTTTTTGATATAAGGTCTCATTAAGTTACTTAAGGCCTCACTAAATTGCTGAGGCTGGCCGTGAACTTGCAAACTTCCTGCCTTAGCCTCCCAAGTCGGTGGGATCACATGAAAAAAGCACCATGCCCAGCCACAATCCTCTTTTGAAATCACATCTTCTCTTTAATTTCAAACAAGGACTACATCTTCCCAGAAGACATCCTTGATGCTCCTATAATACTTATAATCTGGAATGTTCAAATGCTTCTTGGCACTCACTGCTTGCTCTGCAGTCTTCTCAGGCCCCAGAGGATTAGGACGGTACCCTACCCTTCCTTAGTAGCTGCCCCCACCAACCATATTCCATTCTTAAAAAGTACTCAAGAAATGCTGACCGATTAAGTCAAAGGGCCTTATAAAGTTTATTATAAGAGGAGGACCCACATGCTTCTTCAAAAGTGTTTTTGAGAGCCTTACACAGGCATTATACTAGGTGTTAATAACTCATGTAATCCAAAAGCAGGAATTTAGAAAATCAAATATGAGCCTTCCAGGCACTGTGCAGCAGGTCGGTAAGATCAAAATTAGTTTCTAGAAGCAAAGCATCCTTGATATTAAGAGGGCTTCCTAGCAGGTACATTTGAAGCAAGTGCTATAAGGTTACAATCTCTTTCAGCAGTCAGATGATTCTGAGTCAAATATTTAGAACGTCCCTGAATAGGGATTTTTAAATCCTAAATATTAATTTTAATTTCTCTATAAATTGTCTGAGTAGTGTTCTTAGCTGGGGCTAACAGACAGGAAAGGATTTATTTCAAATTATTTTTCTTATAACAGGTAACACTTCTCTATTTTTCTTTTCATTTGTCACCATTTCACCTCAAAGTTTCCCTAAAAGCCATGACCTCTGGAAACACCTTTGACTATTCAGAATCAGCCGATACAGCACCAGACAAACATGTTCATAAATTATGGGTATTCAATTTCAATGTTTTTTCTTCATTCATTATTCATACCATAAATCCTCCATCCAAATATAATCCTATTGTATAAAACTACTTCCTCAATATACCATCAACAAGAATAAAACGACTCCTGTAAATAATTACCTTTGGGATATGAAAGAAAATGTAAACATTTTATTTGGCAGTTGTTTCTGAACACATGAATAAATAAATGGAAAAGTACATATTAATATTTCTTTTTGGAGTAACAGATACCATTAAACGCTTATTTACACATCTTCACTGCAAAGAACAGTTACACAATTTAAGTTTTGTCTTATAAAAGGTAACTTCCCACACCACTGGACTGGACAGTTAAGGATGGAGATACTGATAGTGCTTGGTTCTAGCAGTCTCAATGTTTGAAAGGCATTCATTTGCGAGAGTGATAAGAGTCATCATGCATTGCGTTCATCCAGATCATGTACTGTAGAAAGTTTCTGATGGCAGCCACAGGATTTGGTGTCTCATGCGCTTAAGTCAACTATGACATGTTTGTAAATCTGCGTATTTCCCTTAAAACTGGAAGCAAAAAGAAAATTACGCTTATTAATGGACACGTGTGTGAATGATCTTGGTGCCTGAACGTTTAATTCCTGAAATTTCACGAATTTGGCTTTCTCTGCATCCCAGTTATACACTTGAGTAAAAGAGTAATCACTTCCAAGAATGGCATATTGGTAATTATTTATCTGAAGAGGCTGGAACACCATGGATCCTCGAGATGGCATCCTCTGAATATCCTGGAAGGAGGAGCCTCCCCATTTCATGACTTTGGAGTCACCAATGAACCTTGTCAAGCAGATGTACACGTCACCTTTCACTGAGAAGTGCTTGACAGCATATACATCCTCCATGTTAGGGATGTCAGTCTGGTTAGTGAATAGTTGTGTTGCTTTGTTCCACTGATAAATTACAGGACGCTGGGAACTACTGGACAGGATTAGATGAGGCGTTCTGAGGGTCAGAGGTGTTCTGGCAATTTCTAGGTATTCCACATCGGTGTCCCTGTACCACGCATGTAAGGATTGATGGGAGTAGAATCCATTTCCATTCCATTTATAAATAGTAGTAAAACCAGCTTTTGAGCTGTCAGCAACGACAAAGTACCAGTTGTTTTCGATCTTGAATGTTTCAATGTCATTGGGTTTTCGAATTTTGAGAATTTCAATATCCTGGATTTTTATGAATTTGTTTGCAAAACCATCTCGCTTATAGATATGAGAGCCACCAAACAGCTGGGCCACAATAACATAGAGCTGAGTTTCAATGACTATAGGCTTGCACACTACAGTGGACGTGCCTGGGAAAAGACAAGCAAGAGATTAGTTGTGTGGCCATCCTCTTTGGAACGTGTTGCTGAGGGTGGCCTTGAACTTGCAATTCTCCTGCAGGCTGGGGCCATACAACAAAATCAGCCTAAAACAAGAGATTTCCTTGGCTGATTAAGCAAGACCAATCTCCAAGGCCAATGGCCCCAGTGTTCTGAAATTCTGTACCTTTTCACCTCATAGGGCTGTGTTCCCAGCAGCAAAATTGTCATGTCACACCTAGCCTGCTCTAAGATGTTCAGGACACACAGGTATAGTCTGAGTTTTGTCCTCTTACCTCTTACCAAAAACAACATTGTTTTCCTGGACATGTCAGAAGTTAAGCAGAGTAATTCTAATTAAAAACTGCCATTTATTGAGAGTTTACCTGTACTTTATCAAATCATATTTTCCTAACAACCTTAAGAGAAAAATTTCATCTTCCTTTTCCAGATGAGAAAACTGAAGCTCAGAGTAGCTAAGTCCTACTACCACAAGGGAGAGTTCGAATTCAAACCAAGTCCCACCAATAGACTCCCAGTCCCTCCCCGACACCTATTACCTCAACTCCTGAATGAGGGTTTATTTCCCAAATACTTTTTTTTGTGGGGAGAGGACATTGGGGAYTGAACCCTGGGTACTCTACTACTGAACTACACCCCCAGCCTTTTTATTTTATTTTGAGACAGGGTCTCACTAAGTTGCTGAGGCTGGCCTTKAACTTGCAATTCTCCTGTCTCAGCCTTCCAAGTCAATGGGATTATAGGCTATGCCAACTGTGACTACCTAACCCAATTTGAAGCCAGGTTAGCTGTTTCAGGACTTATAACTTGGGCTAGGATTCCTCAAGGTTCCAGAACTACTCTACAAAGCCTAGAGCAATGGTTTGGTCAAACCCCAGCTCTACCTGTAATTGGTTTGCTCTAAGTGTGAACTGCTCCCTGCTCTAGAAAAACTGCTTTATGCTCTAGAATCCCCCAAGGAAGGAAGGAGATGATACTTGTAACTTTTTTGGAGCTTTAGGTCACTGGTTGCAGGAGAGAAAAGGAAGAAGAATCCTTGAGAAAGTGAAAGAGGGATACCATCTCTAGTGAGGCTCCTGAAAGTTATTTTGGGAAAGGTAAGGAGACATATCTTATTAACAACCCTGTGTGTTAGGTACTATTCTCAGTTTACAAGTGAAGGAATTAAGTCTTGGAGGATAATTCTTAGTTATCTAATAAAAGGTAGCGTTGAGATTTGAATGACTCTGGCCCTGCTCAGTGCCTGCCCTCATACCTCTCATCTTCTCCTGTTACCCTTGGCTAAAGCAGTTTAACTTCCCGTTCAATTTTTGTTTTTTTTTTATTGGTTGCTTAAAACATTACGGTGATCTTGACATATCATATATCATACATTTGATTCAAATGGGGTGTGAATTCTTATTTTTACCACATGTTCAGATTGCAGGATCACATTGGTTATACATCCACATTTATAYATACTGCCATACTAGTGTCTGTTGTATTCTGCCGTTCAAATTTTTATTAGGGTTTTCATACCTGTAATATTGTCATAATTCCGGAAGGTCTTTTCTACATGGTCCCATTCAAGGAAAATGCATTTTCCAGTAAAAGGCTGAGCAATCACCACATATTCATCATTCATATAAGAAAAAGTATCTATGGACAGTGATTGATAAGGCAGGTCTTGAGACTTTGCAAATTCTGCAAAAATAGGAAATGATGATGAGTAATGGTAACTTAATAGTAATACTTTTTTCCTTGGCTAAATCTCAAATATCCGTAAGAAATACTGTTATTTTAGAAAAACAGCAAAATGACAATTTTACTTTGCTTTTAAGCACATGAAGTCTTAATGACTCATAGTTTAAAAACTAAATTGCTCAAGTGGTTTTTTAAGATGTAAAAATATGAGTTCTTGTACATTAAAAAACCACAGCGCTTATTTTAATTTTATGATGCAAAACGATTTTGCATATATTACCTGTAATGATGCAATCAAAATCTTTGGAGGAGAGGCTATTGATTTTGCGCTTCTTGTATTCTGGGGGGCCTTCGCAGTAGATGTCTTCCACAGTTGCATTGGTGTGGCCGAGCCATTCCACCAGCCACTTCAGTTTACAGTCACAGTTAAATGAATTCCCTCTCAGGTCCCTGAAAGACAAACCTCAGCTACTTTTGCAGTACAAAGGCCCTGCTTGGCATGACATATGCCCCATGATCTGCCTTGAACTTGCCTGACCATTCAATTTGGGCTCAGAGAATGACCACAGAGCAGCCTTAAAGGCTACCCCAGTCAATGGAACCTCATCACTTTCTCTCTTTTGGATTTAAAGGTAGCTTAGACTACAGCAGTGCTGTCAATAGAAATAGTATATGAACCACACACGTAGCTTAATTTTTCTTTAGAGCCGCACTTAATAAAGTAAAAAGAAACAGGTGTAATCAATTTTAATAGTATGTTTTATTTAATCCAATACATTGAAAAATATTATCATTCAGGCATGCAGTCAATATAAATATTATTGAGATATCTTGCAGTCTTGTTTATACTAAATTTTTGGAAGGCCACTGTGTATTTTATGCTTATAATATATCTCAATTCAGATGCTAAATTCTCATTAGAAACGTGTGATCTGTATTTAGATTTTATAAGATTTGCAGTTGAAAAAATAGTTTCACATACTCAAGTGTTCCAAATGTACTTAAAAGTCTTCCTAATACTGGAACTGAGAAATAGTTTTTACACTCCCCCCCCCCCAGTTTTGGGAATCAAACCCAGAATTTTGTGCTGAGTAAGCACTACACACTGAGCTATGTCCCTGGCCAACAGTCTTTAAATTTAAACTTGAAAAAATTAGGGGCTGGGGATGTGGCTCAAGTGGTAGCGCGCTCGCCTGGCATGTGTGCAGCCGGGGTTCGATCCTCAGCACCACATACAACAAAGATGTTGTGTCCGCCGAGAACTAAAAAATAAAAATATTAAAAATTCTCTCTCTCTCTCTCTCTCTCTCTCTCTCTCCTCTCTCACTCTCTCTTTTTTAAAAAAAAAAAAGAAAAAATTAAGGGACTTGGAGTGGAGTACCTCAGTGGTAGAGGAATTACTTAGCATATTCAAAGCCCTGGCTTTAATCTCCACACCAAAAAAAAAAAAAAAAAAGAAGTAAAATTTTTAAATTCAGTTCTTCAATTACTCTAGCAGCACATTTTAAGTGCTCAGTAACACAAGTGTCTAGCAGACACCATATTGGACAGCACAGGTCTACAGGATAAAACATAGGACAGAATTAAATTGAGTAAGCTATCTGCATTTCTTCTTTCTCATAGACATAATTAATCCTGATCCTATTCCATAGTCTATAAATTCAGTTTTAATAGGAAATGACTGTGCCACAGCAGAGTTAATGCAGACATACAATAGCTCATGCCTGTAATCACTTAAATTTCCACATGTGACCCTAATTAACCAAGGTCTTTGTTTATTTGTACTGCTTCTGTTCAGGAATTCCATTTCCTTTTTTGATCACATAGAATTTCAAGATAGGTGCTATCTACTCTTCATGCAACATAAATAAATAAATGCTTCATGCCAAGCATTTAAAAAATGCTTTTAGGGGATACATTCAAGAAACCAAGAAATTCACTAAAAGGTAGGTTGGCATGGATCCTTGGATTTCTAAGACAATTCTTGATTTGGACGTATCAGACTAGGTCCAAAAGACCAAATGCATTATGGAATTCCCTAGAGAGACTAAGACAATTTCAAGGGTTAGAGTAACACAAGGAAGGTACAGAGGATCCCGCCCCCCAAACATGAGCTACATCTCAATTCTGCCAGGGAGCATCATCCAACTTTCAAGACCTTCCCAGAACTGACCTCATATCTCAAGAGCATTTTGACCCAGAATAATGAGTGTCAACCCTTCTGACCTATTGTAAACCAGAGCAGATAACTGATCTGTCCAGCACGTTCTTGGAAGTGACTTGATTCTGTCCCTCTCTTGGAAATAAACCATCATTCAGGAATTGGGGTAATGGTGTGGAGGAGGGGCTGGGGCCTACTGCAAGGAACAAAGGAAGTTTTTCATGAGCTTCCTGACTTGAAGTTAAATACTGGGCTTAGAAGAAAATATTTCACTCAGATTTTTTTTTTTTTTGTTATTGAAGAAAAGTTGTTTTGAATATATATTCTATGGCAAAGTACCTGAACAGTAAAAAATCATTTATTTTCACATATCCTTTCATTTGTCCCTATATTTTACTTATGACATTTAAATACCCCGCTAATGTTATGGAAGGCACTTAATGAAATGAAATTGCTTTTGAGAGGGTTAGGCATATAGTACTCGCTTTGCTTACAGCAAAATATACAAATTCCTTGCAAAKATCTTTCACTCTGAGGCTTAAAAGTCAAAGTTTGAAAGCTCTTTTGTTTGAAAAGGGGTCAAAAATAATTAAGTTCATTCCCTTCCTGGGGCTTAAGCCAAATTCCTGGGGATTAAGCCTAGAGTTGTTGTTCTGTCTAATGAGAGAAAAGGCAAAWGTTCCTCCCTTCCCCCATTTCCTGCTCCATTTCTCTGTTGACTGACCAACCCATGGGTGTAACCTTTCATCTTACTCTGTCAGTTTCCCAGACTCCTTTATGTTTTTTTCTTTGCAGCTGCATTTCCTGGATCTCATAAGAAAAAAAGGGATCTTGAAATTTCTATCTGGGTCTCTTCTTCCCACCCACTCGAAGACATTTATCAGTACTCTTCTTAGAAAGACACATGCTGTCAAAGTAATGCCTGGGTACTGTGGATTCAGAATTGCCAATAGTAAATACCTTAGAAGATTCATTTGCTAGTCTATATAAGTTTAAAATTAAAATCTGATAATTTTCATTTAATTTCAAAGCCAATTAAAAATTTTAGTAACCAATATCTGGTTTCCTTTTAATTACTCCAAATGAATTGATTAATCATTGACTTCTTAGGTCCTCTTACACATTTGTTAAAGAATCCAGGCCTTTGAAAATATCTTTTGGGAGTGTCTGAAGATTGTTGTTTGCAAGACTCCTGGAAAAAAAAAAAAAGAGAGTGATATAAACTGTAGTGATACATAAATGCATTTAATGATACAGCTTGGTTATAAGACCCTTTTGTCAAGTCTAGTCACTAAATCACTTCAGTACTTTTTTTTTTTTCTTCTAGGGTATTCCTCAGATTCCTGCTGTTGTATTTTCAATTGCTGACCTCTTTGTTTCAACACCCACTCAGTATTTAGGTAACACTTTGTGTTGCTTCAAGGCAACAACAACAAGGAATCAACAACAGGGCACCACTCATTGCATCCAGAGCAGAGCAGGAGATTCACACCCTCAGATGCTTGGTCTAGGAGATGTATCTCAAGTGATGGTTCCCTAAACTGGTGATGGTGACCATCTCCAATGCCCTCTCTCCTCTCGCTTAGGCTTCCTCTTCTTTTCTCCTCCTCCTGACTTGCTCTACAGCTCAGCAGAGCCTCCAATCAACAGTACCAACAGCTCTGTCTCTTGGCCAGTACATCCTTTCTTTTCTCTAGAGTATATGTCTTCTTTTTCTATATTWAAAAAAAAATCTTTTAGTCTCATATATTCCATCTCAGAAAAAAAAAWTTTCTTTTTTTCTCACAAATACCCATCCAGCCATCTTCTTTAATCATCTTGGTGGGTGCTTGCCCTATCATGRGAATTGTTTTCCCTTTCTCTTTCTCTTTCTTCTTCCCTGAATCACTACAATGATTCTAATCAAAGTTAATGAGGAGGAAGGAGTCCCAATAGTATCAAAGAGAGAGAAATATGTACATATTCCCAAAATACAGACATAATAAAGTGCTGCTGTTGTATGATCACCAAAGGGCACCAGGTACTGGAATTTTGCATTTTTAGTTGGGAGATGTTATATATTTTTCTTTTTTTCCCCTCGAAAGCAAAATAAAAGAGTCTGTGCTGTTGGTCTCCAAAGCCCTTGACAAACCTCTCAACTTTCTTTTAAAAACACTTACTTCAAGAAAAAACTGACACATCTGGCTGCTTTTAAAGGAGGGAAAGGGAGGGATCATGGGGGTAAGAAAGGTGTTGGAATGAGATGGACATCATTACCCTAGGTACCCATATGACTGCACATGTGTGCGACTCTACATTGTGTACAACCAGAAAAATGAAAAGTTTTGCTCCATTTGTGTACAGTGAATCGAAATGCATTCTAATACCATCTATAACTAATTAGAACAAATGAAAATTTTTTTWAAAAAAGGAGATAGGATGTGGGGCTGGGTTATGGCTCAGTGGTAGAGCACTCGCCTCGCACGTGCAAGGCTCTCAGCACCACATAAAAATGAATAAATAAATAAAATAAAATTATTTTAAAAAGTAGAACGTGTGTTTAAAAAAAAAAAGGGAGATAGGATGCACCTTCATGTCTAGATTTKATGAATGACAGGCCTGAGAAGGATATCTGACTCAATAAAGAAACAGAAACAAGAGGAATTAAGGACCCAGGAATGAAAAGGAGATTTGCCCAATGCTTAAGGCCTGGGAATTGAAGTCAGCTAGCTTATGGAACTCTCAGGGGGGCCCTAGTGACATCAGGTCACATTTGGATAAATGGAAAGCTGGCAGAGGGACTTGGCAGAGAATGACTTAGGGAAGCAATACCAACCTTGGAATTATTCTGCAAAAAAAATTAATTACCAAGGCCCTGAAATAAAGCAACCTTCTAGTGCAAGCTGACTGGGGGGCGGGGGGGAGGTGTTGAAGGATGCTCCAACATATGGAAGGGGATCAGCAGAACCTGCAAAGGTAAGATGAGAAATACAAAATGGCCCCAGAGAGAAGGAACTCTATCTTAGCTACAGTCAGTTCAGAGAGCTTACAGTTCCTGAGTGAGGAGACATTGGAAATATTATCCACCCAGTGCCTATGTGGGAAAAGTGATTTGTTCTAGTATTGTCTATAGGAGCAAAGAATTGGAAATAATTTAGGCATCCACTAATGAGAGATTGTGTAATAAATAATGGTTCATACTTAATGTGGAATATTTTGTAGATTTAAAAAAAAAAAAATGAGGTAGAACTCTATGATTTAACATGAAGTGGTGCCTAGGTAAAAAGAGATAGGGAGAAGATTATGTAGAGTGCAATCCCCTGGAGGAGAGAAGATACACATCTGAAGATACATGAAGCTCTGAATCTTTATATATAAAAATTGTTGAATGAGGTCGAACAACAGAGTGGATTTACTGGAATCATTCACTTTGCTATGGTAACTATCTGGGCTGTGACAAAGTTTTACTAGAAAGCACGTATTATTATTTTATCATCAAAAGAAATAAAGAATGAGGTTGACTTTTTAGAAAGACCCTATTGCTCTGTGTGTGTGTATGTGTGTGTGCGCGCACACACTTGCATGCATTCTGTCAGGTGAGGATTCAGTCCTTCTAAATCAATCACTCGGCTGCATTCATCAGGTTCCAAAACTTTGCAGCTATCCTGGGAATAACCGTGATGGTCAGCATTGGGGGCCTGAGTGGTCAGATCATGCAAATGTTTTTCACGAGACCTCCTGCAGGATGAAACTGGCTTGTTTCCTCCAAAATTCCCACACATTTCAGGCCCTCTCTGTCTCTGGGGAGGTTTGGGACTACTGTCAACTCAGGCTCACAGTCACTGTTATGAATTCCCTGCGCTGGGTCAAACCAGCAGTCTGGGAGGCCAGGAGCCTCCCAAATCCATCATGAGCATGGAGGGCTTTGGGAAGATTCTCCACAGGAAGAGATGCTAAGGGCCAGAGTACCAGGAAGCAAAAGGCTTCAGGAAGGCTGCTCAGCGTTACCAAAAGGGTGATAAGAAGGAGACCTGGTGCCTGCTAGTTGCTCCAATGGCTAGAGATAGTGACACAGCACTTTGAGGTGAAGATCAGGATTACTTTAGTTTTGGTATTTGGATGATTCGATTCTTCAGATTCCAACTCTGCCTTGAGTTTTGCCACCATAAAGCAAAATATCTGGAATGAATTTTCTTAGTTTCCTCCTCCTACTCCTCTACTTCCAGCCTCACAGAGCAAAACAATATTATTATTCCCTTTCCTCAATAGAAGCTCTGTGTGAAGTCCATGCTCTATCTTTGGTAATCTGCTTGTCSTTGTTCTCTTCTCCATCACTTCGTGTGGTGAAGTGCAGTGAAGCTGCCAGTTTTGTCAGGGATGCAACTTGAACTTCATTGCTCTGGGGTGGGGTGTGCGCTTAACCCACTTAATTTAGTAGAGAGAAGTCTGTGCCTTGGTCCGTCCTCTCTTTTACTAGCACACGCATGTGCCACATATACACATATATCTACTACTACATGGGCACACACACATAATCATAATTATTATTTCTCTACTTCAAGAAAATTTGAAGGGGCTGGGGATGTGGCTCAAGCGGTAGCATGCTTGCCTGGCATGTGCGGGGCACTGGGTTCGATCCTCGGCATCACATAAAAATAAAATAAAGATGTGTCCACCGAAAAACTAAAAAATAAATATTAAAAAATTCTCTCTCTCTCTCTCTCAAAAAAAAGTTTAAAAAAAAAGAAAATTTGAAAATACAAAAATTATTTTTCTTTTTTAAAGGAGAAAAATGACAATCATCCTGGTAGAAGCCACCACTGTTAATATTTGGTCACATCTTCTTCCAGTCATTAATACAGAGCCAATCAAGAGAAAGTGGTTTTGGAGAGCCATGTCACTGTTCCCGGTCCCCAGGTCTCTCATCCTTCTCTCTTCTCAAGATGTGATGGCAACAGCTGGGTGTGGGGGCCCATGCCTGTAATTCTAGCAGCTCAGGAGGCTGAGGTAAGAGGATCACAAGTTCAAAGCCAGCCTCAGAAATGGTGAGATGCTAAGCAATCAGTGAGACCCTGTCTTTAAAAAAAAAAATACGAAATAGGGCTAGGGAAGCGGCTCAGTGGTTGAGTGCCCCTGAGTTCAATCTCTGGAACTCCCCTCCTAAAAAAAGAAGAAAAAAAAAGATGTGGTACCCATGAGGGAGGTGTAAATATAAGAATTCCTCATTGTTAGGAGTAAGAGAAGAGAAATTAGAAGGATGAAGGAGGAAAGGTCAAGGTGTTTGAGAGCTGCTGGGCCCAAGACAACCCCTCATGTATCAGACTTGCCCCAGGGCTCCCTGAATCAGCCATAGGAAACATGGGAATGGCGTGGGTCAGGAAGGGGAGATCTGGGTTTGAGCTTTGGGTGTTTCCTTTTCCATCAAGCGAATGATCACTTGGTCAGAATGATCTCTATGTTCTATTCTTGTCCTTAAATCATGCCTTTATAACTTTCACTGTGAGAGGCTATGGCTTCATGTTTAGTAATCATTTGACACCAGGAAATCCTTGAGGAGCCAATACAGATGATGATGGGTTTCTCTGGGAGTAAAGAGCGCACTGGAATATCCAACAGGGACAGGGGAGAGCTGATTGAAGACAAGGGCAGAAAGAGGTTTGAGGAAATGTTTTATTACTGTGAATTCCTTCTAGGAGGATTCTGCCACAAGTACTGGAAGAATGTTTTTTCTTTCCTGCCTAGCACAGTGCCTGGCACAAAGTAGGCCCTCAGTAGATACTTTCTAACTGAATGAAAAAATAAGGCAGACTGGAGTGGGTGAGAGGAAGGGCACCAATTTCATTAAAGAGCAGCAGGTGCTTCTCTCAGGCCCCTGTGCCAAGAGACTGGATTAGGGAGAAAGTGCATAGCCTTGTCAATCAACCTGGCAGATCCCACCCCATCATGTGGACCTGCTCTCACAGACTGCCCTGCTTCTCCTCAGCCTCACTGTGGCGATAATTCACAGCCAGATGGAGGCTCTTGAAAGGGTGACTTCAACTCAGAGTCTACCTAAGAAACATCCTTTAAACACCCAGGAAAACTGGGTGTGGTGGCACATGCCTGTAGTGTCAGCAACTGGGAAGACCGAGACAGGAGGATACAAGTTTGAAGCCAGCCTCATCAACTTTGCGAGACCCTGAGCTACTTTGCGAGACCCTGAGCTACTTAGTG